GATTTAACTTGAAGAAGGCCTGGAGGAGAGAGCAGAGATGCCACCACCTCTTCCTGGTCTTCAAGAAGTCAAACCATCTAGAGCCTGGGGCTGTTCTTCCTCCTGGGGTTTCAGGTTATGGGACGCTTCTGGAGGATCTGTGATCTGTAACTATCACCAGTCTCCAGGCTGTGCCAGGAATGGAGGGCTGTATGTCCAGGGATGGGTTTCTCTAAGGCAGAGCCATGAGGAGGCCCTTCCTGTCACCTGTGGAATCGTGGCTCTTCAAGGTTTCTATGCCGGGAGGAAGAACATTGCTTCTGTCTCTAGGCCCTGGGTCCCCTAGTTAAAGACCTAAGGCGAGAAGATCTGAAGGCAAAAGAACAAATCACAGCTAGTGGCATGAGCATCAGCGAATGGCCTGGCTGGCTGTGATTGGTGGCCAGAGGACGTCCCCACCAGAGTAATCACACACACCAGCGTGGACACAGGGGTACCGCAGTGACACTGTCATCTTTAAACTTCAGGACTCATTCAGAGGACTTATCCTTTGAGCCTCAGGATCCTTTTGATTCTCCTCAAGGGCACAGATGTCCCTCTGAGGGTGACAAGGATCGACTCACGGTCACCCCTAATCGATGCAGGCTGCTCGCTCCTCTTCCTCCCGATTCAGCAATAGTCCGTGGCCATCGGCGGCATGTGAGGCCTGCCAGAGGCTCCGGGAGGCAGGTTAATCCCATCTCTGCCTTCCTGGAGCTGAGGTCTTAGCAGGAAAGATAGACACTAAATAACATGAATGGGAAAGAAGACCGGCACTGTTGAACACATACCACACCCTGAGGTGCGGACCAGACTAAGTCAGATGGACAAAGGAAGAGAAGGAAGAAGACATTGTGGGTTAAGGAAAAGCATAAAAGAAACCAAGCATATGGAGACAGCACCCACCCTCACCCCCCAACACACACATTGAATGTCTACTAGGGGGTTGGGAGATCCGTGGAAGTGTAAACCGGTCTCTCAGGGGAAAAAACGCTGTGGGTAAAGAGACATGAAGGTGTGTCCTCTTTGACCCAGTGTTTTTATTTCTAGAAATTGTATCCAAAAGATATAATCAGGCACATGCACAGAGGTATACAACGGGACATGGCCTGAACACCCCTCACTAGGGCTGGTGGGATCCATCCTAGCACATTCTACAAGAAAATGCTATGTAGTTTCGAAAGTAAATAAATACCACGGCTGTCCCTCTTGGTCCTGTGGCTAACAGCTGCGTTGACGAAGCGTGAGGGAAGTCTATGAAGAGAAAGGCGGGGGTGGAGGGAAGTCACTGGGGCCCCTGGGTGGTTCTAGGGGAGACAGGGAGGTCAGGCAGAGGTTGGGCATGCAGAAGAGAAGGGAGACTCAGGTCCAAACGGCTCTGACCTGGGGGAGGGGGGTGGCGTGCTCTGGCCCTGGGACAGCTGGGGCCCTGGCACCGGCTCCAGGCTCCGGGTTTAAAGAGCTTTAAAAGCTTATTAAAAAGGTTCCTTAGACATCAAATGGCTCTTAAAAATCAATATTTTGATGATTTGAGTACAAGGGAACCAGAAACATATGGATCGAATTGCCCTCAAATTATACACACTTTAAAAAATGTGTTGGTCTTTAGCAGGCTCCCAATATTTGAAAAACAGACAGGCACACTGTCCTCATCTCCAGACAGAGGTCACCTTGAAGAGTCTGCAGAGGAGGTCCGTGGGAGCTGGCAGGCTTGAGTGGGGGGAGGCATGGTAACTCCTCTAGGGTGCAGGGATGGGGCACCAAGGAGCAACTGCGTACGTGGGTATCCAAAGGGGTTTGCGGCCGTGGCTCTGCTTTTCCCATAAGACAGGTAGGCTCTGAGAGCCGAGTTCAGAAGTCACAGTTTTCACCTTAAATCCCAGATCTACAGAAGCCCGAGGCAGGAGGAACAGAGGTGTGTCTGGAATCTCAAGGAGAGCTGTCTCTCACACCAGCGTGGGGTGACTCAATCCAAACCAATGCCTGTTTGCTGCATCCGCTCCGTCCTCCGTCCCAGCACCAAATCTTGCCTTGGGAGACGAGGCAGAGTCCATGGGATTACGAGACAGTCTGGTGGGGATGCCGGCCAGGGGGCTTCAGACTTCATTTTGGGCAAAGAGCTCCTGTCGTCCGGTTTGCGGGGGTGGTAGCTGGGTCGGGAGTGGGGCACTCTGCCTTTGGAACTCTGTCCCTGGAGCCCAGAGGAGGAGATGAGGCACACCTGGAGGCCTGGGCCTGAGGTCGGAACAACTCTGGGTTAGCTGCATGGAGGGAGAAGATGAGAGATGACCGCCCTGGAAGGGAGGAACATAGATCTCAGTCAGGCCTGGATCTGTCCTTGGCTACCCCATCTCCCTGGCTAGACCCACCGGTGGGCTGGGATGTGCCCTTCTCCCTGGACCTCCGAGCCTCTGCTCCGTCCATCAGAGAACATGCCGACCTTGCAATGTCCATTTCTCTCTCAACACAGGGCCACCTAATGCATTCCAGGCCCCCAGGCAGCTCTCCCCAGGGCCTCACAGCCCCCCTGCTGTCCCATTAGGTATGCCTCAAATGCTCCTGTCATTCAGAATTGGTGTGTGATGATTCTACCTAGATGGGCAGGCTCACGGGCCGGGCTCAAGGTTTGAGTCTCTGTCCACGCTTCACAGTCACTACACAGTCTGAGGAGGGAAGGAAAGGGAGGAGCTATGATGAGAAACTGAGGTGAGGGTGTCCTGGGCAAGGACTCAAAGGAGATGTTGGATGGTGCAGACCTGTGGGACGCAACAGGCTCCTATGGTGGCCACTGGCCTTAGGGGAGACATTAGGGGAGTCGAGGGAGATAATAGAGTCGTTCCAGCCCTCTCCCTGCACTTTCTTCAGGGAATTCTGATGACAGGCCTCACGCCTGAATGGGGTGAGGAGGATTGGTGAAAGATGGGGTGGGGCGGGGTGTTCTCTGGGATCTGGGTAGCGTGCAAACAAGAGGACATCCAAAATGCTATCGGGTGCCTCAGAGAAGGGCTGAGAGTTGGTGAGTGATTCCTGGGGACCGTGGCCACTTTGCCTGCACGAGCTGGTGTGTGGCATTTAAAAAAAAAAAAAAATAAGTGCAGAGGAAAACAACAATCGGGAACTTACAAGTGTCCTCTTCACACAATGTCAGGAAGGGGGACAGGAAGCGCTCGGTGCCCGCCTCGAGTCGCCTCTCCCTGTCAGTCAGCACTCACCTCTGGAGATCCTACCATGGAAAAGAAATAAGGGCCTGACTTGGACTAGACAGGGCCTGGAATATGACAGCCCTGGAGAAAGAGCTACCTCTGTACACATGGCTGCTTGGTCAGGGTGCCCGGGCCTGTTCCCAGGGGTTCCCCGATGTGTCTCTGAGCCGAGGCTGGGCCTGGCCCTCTTTAGATCTGGGATGGCCCTCCATACCTGCCTCTGCTCTGACGTCTAAGCCACACCACCACACACCAAACAAAGCCATCCCCTCTGAAGCTTGGTGCAAGCTCCCCACTTCCCCTGATAGCAAGGGCTAATTGCGTTCTCCCACAGTGACACGGTGGGGGAATCTGGGGGTCACGCGAAGCTCAAACTTAGCAGGGGTGCATTCCGTGCCCTGCCCCTTTTCCTACCTCTCCCCAGCACACTGATGTCTGGTGTCAGACTTCTCCAAAACCACATCCCTAACATCCAATGGGATGGGGAGCCAAAGCTGATAAATCCTCCTCTTCCTCTTGATTCCTGTCTGTCGTTTGCCACTGAGTCGAAAGGATCATAATCCTGGGATCTATCCTTGACATTGACTCGGTCCTCATCCCCTCAGTGAGTTCATCACAAGCCTCCTCTATTCCCTCTATAATCTGTCCCTGCATCTTCCCACAATCCCTAACTTTTTTGTCTGTTTGTTTTTTGGAGACAGGGTTTCTCTGTGTAGCCCTGGCTGTCCTGGATCTCACTCTAGATACAGGCTGGCCTCAAACTCACAGAGATCTGCTTGCCTCTGCCTCCCGAGTGCTGGGATCTGCCTTATTGTTCATTTACTTATGTATTTTGGATTACAGCCTGCCACTGAACCTGGAGCTTCCTCATCCGTCTTGACTGGCCAGAGAACCCCAGGGATGGGATTACCATGGCTAGCTTTGACATGGGTGCCCAGGGGTTAAACTCAGCGATTCATTCCTATGCCGTAAGCGCTTTACCAACAAAACTGTCTTCCTGGCTCTCACTTTTTATATTTTTGATTCAGAATCTCAACTAAGTTGCTCAGACTGGCCTTGAATTCACTCTGTAGCCCACATGGGTCTTGAAAGTGTGATATTCCTGCTCGGGACTCCCTGGTAGCTGGGATTACAGGCCTCTACCACCATGCCTGAATGACTTCGGTCATGTCTTCCTTCCCACCAGCGTTTGCTGCTCTTTCCAGGAGAGCGGCCTGTCTAAAACTCGAGGCCTCTTCTCCTTTCCCTCAAGGCCCTGGCAGGCCTTGACTAGCCTGTGTATCCCTGGCTTCTGAGGCAGAACTTGACTTCTGTGAGCTGGTCCCATGCTTCTTCTGGCCTCCTCTCTGGGCCTACCCTGGCCCACCCACTGATTCGGGCCCGGGGGACTTCTTATAAGCCCGGCATCTCCATTCTCACTACCTCTGTGACTTTGCACATGCTGGTCCCCCTCCCCCCCAGCCTCCACCCATCCTGGCCAACCCCTCTCTAGACCAGGCCTAGGGTGTCCCTGACATCCCCACCACCTGGAGGGTCACACTCTGCATTAGCCCTCTTCCGCTACATCGCTTCTTTAACTTCCTCCCAAAAGGTTAGCTGTCTGTGAGGGAGGGCCTTTGTCCATCCAACAAAGGAGGCAATGGATGCTTCCCAACCCTTGCCATCGGCCATGCCCTTAAGACTTCTTTTGTGGTCCCAGTCAGTGTCATCCTCTGGCAGGCCTTGTTGCCAGGCATCTGGCCCTGTAACACACAACCCAGTCGTGAATTTGGGTTATTGTTGTTGTTTCATTCATTTATTTTTGGGTGTGGCTAGGTGCCCATGCCACAACATTCATGGCGGTCAGTCAGAGGACAAAGTTGTGTTGCTGGATCTCTCCTCTACCTTCTTCTCATGGGTTCCAGAGACTGGTCTTGGGTTGCCAGGTTTACACAGCAATCTCCATTTCCTGATAAGTCATCTCACTGGCCCTTTAAAAAAAAAAAATTTAGGTTGTTTTGGGTAAAACCAGGCTTGTCAGGAAGGCTCAGGGAGTCTCTTTGTCCCTAAGTACAGAAACTAGGGTTCCCTGACAGTGAGTCCCTCAAGGGGTTAGCTTTGGGCCAGGCACAAGGAGAGACTCCACATGGCTGTGGGAAGAGATCAGACCAAAAAAACAGTCCCCACAGCTTCACTGTGGATCAAGCCGGCCGGCCCCTGCACACATGGTCCCCTGGCCCCTTCTGCATCCTGGGTTTTCTTCAGTGTCCCTTCTCCCACTCTGCCTGCCGGCTTTCGGAGGCTCCAATGCTGTCACTGTCCCAGTGGATGCTTGGTGGAGCCAGAGGGACTCTGTGCGTGTGTGCTGGCACCGAGGGGCTCTGAGGGGGTTGGAAACAAAGGCCCAGAGTGAGATCCAGGGCACAGCTGAACTGCCCTGAACTCGCCTTTTTTTGTTTTCAAGGAAATGCATAATCCAAGAACCACCCACGGCCCTGGCGGCCCAGCTAAGCAGGGCTGGAATGCACTGCCTTTCCCGTTAGTAATTGTTTTTTCTAGTTCGCCTGCCTGTAACCCTTCCCCTGCCGCTCCCAGCTCCCCAGCTGCTGGGGCCTGGCTCTGACTCAGCCTTCCTCAGAGGTCCACCGGGATGGATGGACCCCTAGGCCAACTCCCTGAGGCATCTCCAACTCTGTCCCACTTGTCCAGATGTCACCAGTGGGTTGGAGGACAAACTGGGGCCTGCAGTATTATTCTTCCCCTACTCAGCCAGGCACTAGAGGGGACCCAGGCTGGAGAACGACAAAAGACAGGGTAGACCCGGAGGGGCCCAAGAATGTCTGTGGCAGGGTCTGTACATCTTAAAGCAGCTCCTTTGTGACTGTGAATGGAGTCACTCTGAGTCAGCGATAGAATAGAGGGTGGGGGAACTCTCTGGTGTGTGTCTGAGTGTGTCCGTGGGTGCTGCGGCCATGTGCTCATGTCAATGTGCTGAGAGGAAAGAACAGTACTGCTCCGGGGTTAACTTAGAACCTCTCTATCCACCTACCGGTGCCAGCGTCCCTTTGAGCCTTCACTCCAAGAGGAGGCAGCACCCTCTGCCCTCAGCAGCTTCCCCCTCACAAACACAAGGGCAGAACAGAGTCCCGGAGCTTGGCGTTAGCTAAGCTGTGCATTTGCAGTCCCAGAGGGTACCAGGTCAGGTGCTGAACCTATCTATGCCCACCTCCCCCCATCCGGTTCCCGCCCCAGCCAGCCCTTCGGCTCCAAGCTGGAGACCTCCTGTTGCGTTCTCTGAGGTGGGTGTGGGAGTAAGAAGAACTGGGTGTTGATTGTTGCGCCCTCCAATCCAGCCTCCCTTGGAGCATGAACTGCTTGCGTCTCATCCTCAGTAGACCTGGCCTCTGGCCAAGGAGGGACGCTAGAGTGGACTCGGGCCCCCATCTCTCCTGAAGATGGGAAGGCCTGGCCCTTCAAAAAGAGGTGCTGAGAACCATGGTCGAGCTACTGGGGAGGCTGGGAGATGGGGGGCCTATGCTGACAAAGACCATGTCTTGGATTGGGTCTCAGGCCTTAGGGTTCATGCTGGCTAGTAGTGTCCTGGGCAGCTGGCAAGACCAACAGAGCCAAGATGCCGCCCGCCGTTCCAGCCTGGCCACCGAACATTTGGTGCAAATCAAAGGCCTTTTCCAGCCAGGACAGGAATGCTGCCGAGCGGGATTTGGGACCAGGCCTGGCAGGGCTAACACGGCCCTAATTGAGGCCGCTTTTAGACTTTCAATTATAAGCAATATTTTCCCAAGCTTCCTAAATTGACCGTGGAGACCCGCTGGTGTTAGTGCCTGTGCTGTGGACAGAAAGGGGGTGGGGTGGGGCGGGGTGGGGGTGGGGGGACGGCTGTTAAAGCGTTGGGAGCAGGTTTATTTTAGTAAGTGCTTTGAGGGGAGAATGCTCACACAAAGCAGGGACTGAAGTCATGTCTCTGGGGGGAACGGGCATGAGTTTAGAGACAGAGAGAGGCCTGCAGGCATGATCAGCCACATGGGTGGAACATACGCGTAGACAAACACCTGTGGAGAAACACACAGTTCAGACAGTGGCGTGAACGCCAGGCTGGAAATCCCTCCCAAGCACCTGGAAGCTTCAGAAAGGAAAACAGGGTTGGTGGCTCCGCCCACTCCTCACCTTCGCCTCTCCCATCCCTCTAGGCCTCTGCGGCCTCCCCAAGGCCTGCTTCCGGGGCTCCAGCCAAAGTGCAGTCAGCTCCCAGCTGGGTGTTTCTGCTTGTGGTACAGCCTCAGGGAGGCTCAGCTGTCTAGAAAGGAACACCCAGCCTCTGCGGGGAAGAGGAGTCAGCCTGCTGCACCCCAGCTGAAATCTTGAGGCACCTTCCTTGTGACATACCCACAGTGGTCTGAGAAGCAGAGGCAGAGCCCAGAGGTGCCTCTGGAAAAAAGCCTCCAGGGAGCAAGCTTCCCTCAGCATGGAACTGCCTACCTTCCAGCTGGCCTCCCAGAGCAGGCTGTGGGGATTCCAGAGCGGGCCTGGTGTCAGGCCTGTCTTTCCAGGACTGTCCCCTCTGCCTTGGGAACATGTGATGCCTTTGCTAACACTGAACAGTCAATGCTGGGCCCAGAAGCTAAGAGTGAATACACAGACAGGGGTGAACCCCCCAAACCTTGGCTCTGTCCCTGTCATCCATAGTCCATGCCTGTCCAACCCAGGGGGACACCAGAACCCCTTTCCTAGTGTCCACCAGGGAGTCCAGGAATGGTCACAGGTAGGGCCTCTGAGAGGGATGGGGACCGGAGACAAGCTTGCCTGCTCCAACCTCTTGTCAAGAGCGCTCTGGGACCAGGACAGAGTGAGATATGGGGAAGCCGGTGGCCAGATCAAGACCTTTCAGCCAGGGCTGGGACAGAAGGAACCTTGGTGGCTGTTACAGGCCGTTGCTATTGTCCTTATCTGGGTCTCCTTGTTCTTACACCACCACGTCCTCAACGGCCTCTGGAGTCAAGGGGCCCTGTTGTTCTCTCCCCAAACAGACGGTTACGGTTTCCGTTGTTTGGGGAGGGGGCTGGGGGTGGGTGGGTGGTGGCCAGGAGGGGGGCTGTCTGCTTAATTAATCATTTTGGGCCACCCTGGGAAACTCATTAAACCACCTCAGGCTGCAAGCCGGAACCCTGTCCTCAAAGTTAGAACATTCTAGCTTGCTATATTAGAGTCCCCTTTTCCTTTCCATTCAGACACATATGTGGGCAGGAGAGGTGTGTGTGTGTGTGTGTGTGTGTGTGTGTGTGTAGCAAGCGTGCCCTGTATCTACTCTTCTCTGTGTGTTTTTGTTTCCTAGAGTCTGCAAGGAACTTCCCCTGATTCTTCTTAATTACCAGTGGAGAAGAAATTCAAGATGCCTAGGGCAAAGGTCAAACTCCACCTGTTTTCCTTGCACTTCATTTTCTGGCAGTTCCCACAATAGTGCAGATAAGTAAAAGATTAAGGCAATCTTTTCTAATTAAAGTAATTAAAAAAACGGGGGGAGGGGGAGGAGTGTGATTGCACCCTTTCATCTGAAAGGGAAAATATTGACTCATGTAACTGTAGGCCCTTAAAAGCCTTCAGGAGGTCTGTTTGGACAAACGGATGCTCCCCCTGGCCCCCACCAGCCTGCTCTCCTCCGGTGTGCATGTATACACACACACACACACACACACAGACACACACACACATACACACACACACACACACACAGACACACACACACATACACACACACACACACACACAGACACACACAGACAGACACACACACACAAACACACACATACAAACACACACAGACACACACACACACACACACAGACACACATTCATACACACACACTCACAGGCTGGTTTATGGAGCTAGGGACAATCTAACAGGACCACCTTGAAAACGAGGCAGGAAGGAGGGAACCTAAGGACACTTTTAGCCTGCCTCCTGCCAAGCACCGTGGGACGGTTTCTGGAGCCCTTGGCACTTGGGTTTGACCGTGGTGGGGTTTTCCTTTGTTGGTGTGTTATTTTGTTTGTTTGTTTTTGTTTTAATGAAGCCGGGTCTCCATGTATAGACCGGCTTCGAACTTCCCATGTCATCAAGGCCGACCTGGCCTTCAACTCCTTATCCTCACGCCTCAGCCTCTGAAGCGCCGAGTCTTTAGGCATGACTCTGGCTCTGCCTGTGATGTTCCGCCATTGCTCTTTCTAGGGCGGTGACCCACAGGCCCTTGGCCTGCCTCTGACCACTCCGTCCCCTGTAAACTCTTCCCTCTGACTTGGATTGGGTGGAGAGCTCACCAGGGAGGTTGGTCAGTCTTGGGTACCGGCTTCCCATCTTCCCGGGCTACGGCCCGGCAGACAGCTCTTCCATTGGCCTTTTGTCTAAGCCCGTGTGCCTGACAAACAAACCCTTGACCAGTGACAGAGGGCGTGTGTGTGGCACAGGCTTCCTGCCAAATGGGCAAAATCCAGCAGCAGTCCTTTGGTCCTAGCCCCCAAACCAAGCGTGTGGTGTGTTTCCTCGTGAGTTTCCAGAGGCAAAATAATGCCTCCGTTTTCTGATGCGTGATGCTGAATGGCGCAGTTGAAACTTCTCCCTAGATGGGCTTCTCTAGTGAGGTGTGGCGGTGGAGACCGAGGCAGCCTCCTACAGGAGGGAGGGGCTTTGAGGAGTGGGAGATGTGACCAGGAGATGGTAGCACCCAGACCAAGAGCCTGGGGTCTCCCCTGCTAGGGGATGCTTGAGAGCCAGGAAGATCCCCAGGTCCACAGAACATGACAAGAAAGCCCCAAGAGTGCCCCAGCTCACTTGTTCCCTAACAAGGGCCTGGCTACCTCTGCCTGTCCCAGGGCCAAGCTGGACAGTAGCATCCTTAGCCTGATCCAGGGCTGCCACCCCTTGTAAGATTACCTGCACAGAGCCCGCGGGGGTAGATCGTGTCTACAGTGGAGCCATCCATCCAGGAAGGACTGAGCAAGTGGGGGTGTGTGTGTGTGCTGGGGGCTGGGTGTGGAACTCCTTATGTTGTGAGCTCAGTGTCAACAGCCCTGTCTTTGGACTCTGAACTCAAACACCCCTCTTCCTTGACCTTCCCAGACCAGTTAGGGCCTCCAGAAGGGCAGATCCCATTCTGTCATTTCTCCGGCTGATCAGCAGCCACAGCACCCCTGTCCCCCCAGGGAACAGACTCTACCTGCGGACCTAAAGGAGAGAGGTACCTCACATGGCAGGCTTGAGTAGGGCATGACCTCACCCCCTGAAACATCTTCTGGGTCCCAACAACACAGGGCTCCTGCAGACCTGTGTTCACAGGTGTCCCCTACAAAAAAAAAAAAAGGCAACACATTACAGGGTGCTTAGATGCCCTGAAGCCCATGCCTAGAGCCCACGGGGGAAGCTTTTATCTTCTCCTGCAATGCAACGCCTGGGGAACCCTGGCTGCTTTCCAAGGCCAGTGTTATCACGGCTCCACTAGGCCCCTCTGCTCCAAAGCGGCCTCAGCCTGAAGCATCAGGGCGCTGGCAGCGCCGCCCTGGTCTCCTTCAGCTGGACTCAGGGAATTGTGTCGGATCCAACCTACGCCTTTGCTGATTAACTTACTCAATGGAAACTGTCCCTTGGGGAACTGGAATCCTTGCTGCCAAAAGAAATTCTCCCTCTGGACCAGCTTTTCTAATCTCCCTTTTTCTGCGTTCTGTTTTCCTCCCCCACTCCCGGCCTCTTTCCTTCTAGCATCCCAATCAGCTTTTACCTTTCTTCTTCCCTCCTACTGAGACCCAAACAAATCTGGTAAACAAACTGGCAGGCCACTCTCTTAAAGAGATAGCTCATGGCTGTTGTGGCTCAGGGCTGCAAAGGATGAGTGGGGAGGCGGGTTAGGAGGTGGTCCATCACTTAGGAGACTGGGAGAAAGGAGAAGCTAGCCTAAAGCAGTCCAGAAAACTGCCCTAGGATCTACCTGCCATTTACCATACCTCATGGAAATGAGGGGCCAGGAAGGAAGTAGTGCCGGGGGATCACAGTAACAGACTCCTCTGGGAGGGATTGACGGTTCCGATTTAAACATCTAGACAGTTGTTTCTTTTGTCCCTGTGGTCAGATTTCTTCTTTTGTAGTATGACTTGTAAAATGTATTTTTATATGTCCCTCCTCCCCTGTCACCGGACCAAGTGAACACGGCTATGAAATGATAGAGGATTAAGGATACCGATGTCTCAGTCCTAGAGCGGTCACACCACGTTTTCCCAGCTGTGAACTGTAGGACCTCTGGACTTCATCTGCAACTGTTTCTATGTTGCAGGTATAGTGATTGAAGTCACCATGGGGGTCAGCGTGTGTGTGTGTGTGTGTGTGTGTGTGCGCGCGCGCGCGCACGTGTTTGCTTGTATGCTGGGCCACTGCATTGAGAAGCCTCTACCCCCAAACAAGGACCCTTCATAGACCAAGTGTGTGCACTCCTCACCCCCACCCGAGTCATCTGAATGGGAAATTGGTGGCGACAGAGGGCAGGCTGCTTCATTCGATTCCCAGAGAATGGGACAGGCGACAGGCCAGGTCTTGGAGTCTCCTGGGGGATCCTGCACAGGCCACTTGCTCAGATTCTGCAGGCCCATTGGCTGCTCCAGGACCAGACCAAGATCCCAGGAGTGAAGTCTGGGAGAGTTGTTTCTGCCGCTCCCCTTATGGGGGCAAAGCTACCTCTGCCCTTTCTTGCCTCAGCTTCAAGTGCCCATAGCTCTTAACCTGAGCCCCTAGTGAGCCAAAGGACTTCGAACCAAGGTGGCTTTTCCCCTTTAAGAGAGTACAGAGCTTTTCTCACTCCCGCTTGGAAGCAGGCAGGAAAAAAATTCTCCTGGTGGGCAGGATTACGTGATTACTCAACTTTCCCAAAACAGACCTGAAGGCTTGGGTCTAAAACGAGCTTTTGTGTGAGCCTTTCCCCATGATTTGTGACAGATGTGTCAGCCCAGCTCACCCTCTTCCTTCCCTCTGCTACATCCGCAGCTCGCTGCCACCTTCATTCAGGTCGCTGAGATTTCCAGGGACTCCGTTGTTGTCAGGGAAGATAAGCCTGCCGCTGTTCTAAAGGCTCTCTGGCTTGGTGGGGGAACGTAGCTCTGGGTCTGCTTCGGGCAGCTCTTCTCAATCCCACCAAGAGTAACTCTTGCAGCCATTGGAAGAATGGTAGAATGGCGGGTGTGGCCCGCATAGGCCTTAGCCGGTCTGGCCCCTTCCGGTAGTCTCTCTTCCGCGCCAGATCCCGGACCCAGCTTCCTCGTGGCCCTCTGTCACCTGGATCTGTCCTGCAGCTCCAGCCTACAAGCGAGCCTGTATTTTGTAGAAAGCAAAACCCTAAACACCAGCCACACGGCCCTGGCTGCTGTGCTGGGACAGTCTGAGGATGTCACTGTGGCTAGACCCAGGGTTTGGCTTTAAGCCAGGAAGACGTGTTCCAGAATTCCCAGCAGCCCTCCTGCACACAGAAGTTCCCTGTAGAGTAGCCACATCCTCACAGCTGGTGTCTCTGCAGGGGACCTTCTCCTTGCAGAAGCTGGTGGCAGGGAAATGAATTTTAAATAAATCATTCTTTCAATAATGCCCGGGACCCTTACAGCCAGCATGGTCTTCTTAGACATTCGCCATCTCAGAAATTCCCTAGGATCTGACCTAGGGAATGGATGGAGAGAAGAGCCTGCCAGTATAGCCATGTGGCAGGCCCTGCAGACTGCCTGGCCAGGTTCCCCTGAGCTGTGAGATCCCAGACCATTTGCAGAAACCAGAAGCCTGAGCCCGGAGCAGATTCCAGAATACAAGAGACTCACAGGCTGAGTTCGGGTCATCTGAAACCTCTGCTGGTGTTAGCCTCTCTGAAGAGTACAATAGTTATCACAGGTACAGGATATCATTAACTATCAGAGCTAGGGCTGCGGGTAGAGCACTTACCTAGTGTGCACAAGGCCACGGGTTCAATCCCCAACACTGCAAAACAAAACGGAATGCCAAGGCTGGACAGAAATCTGTATGTCTCCTAACCCTGGTCCCTGAGAATCACCTGGGGTGGGGGTGGGGGGCTCTGATTTGGTGGGAATGAGACCTGAGGATTTGAATTTCCAGGAAGTTCTCGAATGATGCTGAAGGGGGCGTGCTTTGGGAAGTGCAGCTGTGGGCTGGAGAGATGGTCCAGCTGTGACAGGCTAAGCTCGCAATCAAAAAACGGGAGAGAAGACAGTGTAATGTATCAAACCGTCTCTTTAAAGGTGCCGAAACCACGGCCCAGGGGTGTTGTGGAAACGAGGGATCGTTCAGTTCAGTGGGGTCACCGGGACTAGGCTGTAGAACTGAACGTAAAGGTCTCACACAGCTTGGGCTGGTAGAGTTCTGACACCAGCTCTTCCTGCTGGCTGCCATGGCCCGTTGGGCACTGTCTAGAGCCAGCTGTGACTTGGAAAAATGGGTGTGTACCCCCCACCCAGCACCCAGTTGGTGCTAGAAATGAAAGCGGCATGTTTTGGCATATCCTGGCCTCCAGGTTGAAAACTGTTTATTTGGACAATTAAGAACATGGCTTCAGCTGAACCACAAAATTCGACGGAAACCTTTATCTCGGGTGGCGCAGTCTTGGCTCCCTCCCCTGCCTTGGTGGGGCTGTGGTGGGCAGCGTGGGTCTGGGAAGGGCACTAGCGGCTCTGGCCTTCTCTCTGCTTCCAGGAGATCAATCAGGTGTATAGGGCCAAGTCTTCTTAGTTACCCTTGGCGTTGGGGACAGGGTGGGGATGGGGGTACTGGGAAGGGCCCCAAGCTTTTTCATCAGGGACCCTAAAACCTCTGGAGTCCCTGGAGGTGAGTGTGGGGCTGCTTCTGAAATTGACTATAAGATCAGTAATGGCGGAACCATCTTGTCTCTTCCAGAGATCTTGTCTCAAGCCGTCCCCCTTCCTGCCTCCAACCAAGATATGGGCAGACTCACACCCACCAGCCCCCCAACATTCCCAATACCTAATTTCTCCTTCAGTCTCTCTGTCTGTCTGGGCTTCCTGGGGCCTCCACCACATGGAGGAGTTCACGGGTAGATAAGGAAGCTATTTGATTACAGTTCTAGAATTTGAAGCGGCTCTCATAGCAGGAGAGGCCCGAGGCCCCAGGATCTCAACGCCCACTGGGGATTATGGTTGGGAATCAAAGACAATAGCCTTCTGGTCACCCCACTCCCACGAACTCCCAATCAAAGCCAACAAAACAAACACCAGGGAGTTGAAAAGATCCGTTCTGAGAAGTTGCTTCTGTTGACTAAACATTGGTTCAGTCACCCCACCAAAATGGAGGCCACGGGGGGGGGGGGGGCTCTCAAGAGGGGCCGTGGGCTGTGAGGGAAAGGAGACAGGCCTGGAAAGAGCAACGGCCAGAGCTCCACCAGAAGGAAGGGCAGCGGGCGGCTGAGGGCAAGCCTGCCTTGGCCTCCTGCTGAGTGGCCCGATGGACTTGGAGAGAAAAACCAAAGTCAAGCATACCACCCCCACCCCACCCCACCCCCAGCCCCTGCCCAGGTCCCAACCCTACAGCTGTGAGCAGAGCGGGCCCACCCTGGCCCCAGCTGGTCAAGGTTAGTTTGATGGAGACTAGTCTCCTGACTGTTACTGGGGGCTGACCACTCTGCTTCCTCCCTTCTGGAACAGAGCAATCCGTTTGCAGGGCTCTCTTACGACTCGTAGAATGTGTTTGCAGAATCTTCGATTTTAAAGTCGTGCGTCTTATTCTGTCTCTGCGTGACTCATATTTGTCAACCTCGTCTCCCTGGCAACACGCACGATGAAAACTTCTTAGGGCAGGAACCCAGTCTCCTGCCAATCACAAGACCCACCTGGGTCTCCCTTGTGGCTGATGAGTGGTTGGGAGTGGTTGGGGCTTTGACCGTTTTTTTTTTTTTCCCTGTTGATCTTTATTCCAGGGGTGTGTGTCAGAGAAGGGGGAGAGGACCCTGGAACACAGCTGGGCACTTTTTATCTGCTTCAGTGGCTGCATTGGAACCCTACCTCCCATCTGCCTGAGGATGGGGCATGAGGGTTAAGGGCCTGGGAGGTGGGAGATGTCTCCCTTGGGTACTTCCTTCTCATGTTGCTCAGTGATCAGTGGGGTGGGAGGTAACCCAGCAAATGGAGTGTAGGGTGGGAATACATAGACCTGTAACCCACCCCTCCCCCACCTGTTTCTCTTTCCCAGCTCCTTGCTCAATTTTTTGTTTGTTTGTTTGTTTGTTTTGAGACAGGGTTCCTCTGTGTAACAGCCCTAAATGTCCCGGAACTCGCTCTGTAGACCAGGCTGGCCTCGAACTCACAGATCCGCCTGCCTCTGCCTCCTGAGTGCTGGGATCAAAGGCGTGCACCACCACTGCGTACCTGGTGCTCCATTTTTAAAGTAAGAAGTAGCAGCAAGGAAAATAATAACTGTGACGGTGTGAGTGCCAGAGATGGTACGTGGGGACGGCGGTGGGGACAGCCGAGAGACGTTTGGTGGCCCAGGGAGGTGAAAATGAAGCAACAGAATGAAGAATTCTGCATTGTTTCAAAGCTGGTCAATTATTTCCAGACTTATATAGATTCCTGAAGACCACGTGGTCAAGGAATTGGGAGCGAAGCTTAAGCCACATGCACACAAGCCTGGGAGAAGATGACGGCAGCCCCCAAGCCCGCAAGGCCAGCGGCTCAAGGGAGGGAATCCTCTTGTCTCTCTTCTTCTCAGCCTCCAGGATCCAGCCTCATCCCTATCGTGGAGTCCATCCCTCCGAGAAAGGAGACAAAGGGTCAGGAGTAGAGGAATGATACAAAGAATTCTCTCCTTGCTCTCTGTCCTGTGAGCATCCCCTCACCATATGCTCCCTACCCAGGGAGACAGTCTCCTAAGCCCACACTTTGGGGAAGAGGCCAGAGTGCTGGTCAGTCGGTCCTAAGAACTCATCTGGTCTCTAGAGGGAGCACCAGGCCCCAGACCCTGAGCTAGGCTCGCCACTCATACCTCATCCCCCACACACACAACCCTTTTAAGGTGGGAATTATCCTTCCTCGTTTACAGAAGAGGAAAAGATCTCAGGCCAGGGCAGGCTGTTCAAACCACAGGGTTCTTAAATGGCAGAGCTGGGAACTGGCATCAAAGTCCTTTGTTACCCAACCCGGCCATGATTCGCTCCAGGGGGCAGGGCCTGCCCCCTCAGAGTCCCTGTCCAGGGCAGGCCAGGGCAGACGCGCTGTCGCCAGGCCTGGCCTCTCTCTGCGGCGGCAACGCGGGCTGCTGTGACCCTGGCTCTGAAGGCTGTCATGCATCCTGCAGGCCATTCGTTCCTCTGAGAGCTGAGCCCAGAGGCTAATCATCTGGGCAGGCCTGACTCCTCACCAGAGGTGTGAACATGCCTGGGTGCTGGGCTGGAATGAGGCTGCTTTAATGGACAAGTCGGAATCCGTTTGTGAGCAGTAAATTGCCCCAGTCCCCAGGGCCAGTTTCCATCATAAATCTAAACTATTTGACTCTGCGGATTCCCAGCACTAAAGCCATCCCTGGGACAACAGGACGGCTTAGGGGGCCCTGTGGGGGGCTAGGGCCAGCCCCGACAGAAGCCACAAGTACTCAGCGGCTCCTGCCTTCTTAGCCCTACCATGCTTAGCCCAAAGTTCCTTGTGGGAACTGCCACCAGTATGAACACCGGGACCATTTCTCCGCTTGCTGCCCCTCTCTCAAGACTCATTTTGTTGCCGCCTTGTGGGTCTGCTCACCGGGCTTCCTCCTGAGGCTGTGGTTTGCACCCAGGGATTCCGAGGTCTCCCTAGGTATGACTTCCCAGCTGTGTCTGTTAAGTATCGACTTCTTCCCATCATCCCTCTGTAAGCTGCTCCACCAGGCGGCTCCACAGGAATCTCGAGTCCGCCTGTCCAACTTGAACTCAACTCTTCCAGCCCCGCCTCACCAGTAGGCCCAAAGGCCTATTTGAAATTACCTTTGGCTCCTTCATCTCTTACCCACCAGGTGGGTCCAGGTCCTGACCTCCCAGAGGTCACGTCTCCATTTTTTTCCCCCTGTCTCTCCTCCCCCTGTCTCTCCTCCGTGAAATCAAAGTATTGGGGCATTTATGGAAAGATCTTCCTATTAGCGCCTTCCAGGTGATGCAACATGCGGTCTTGAGTGCTTATCCCAAAAGCTGGGCTCAAAGTGAGTTGTTTCCCAACATAAACACTCTGGATGGCTCCTCAAATGCTCCAGAGCCTCACTAATACTCCACAGCCCTCCCTGGACCTGGCTCCCAAGTCTGGTTAGTTCTCCCTTGCTTCTTAGAAGTCACATTACAGCTACTCTAGACCAGCATTTCTCAACCTATGGGTTG